TGTTACGTTGTCATGCTTACATTCCTCTACAGTAATTTCGATATAATTTAGTGTGAAATGATTAACCACTTGAGAGTTTGAATCAAACAGTTTCACTGACAGGTTACAAATGTGACATCTGTACGCAAGACTTTACATATATCTGAAGTGCTTTTTGGAATTAATTTGAACATGTCAGAGCACAGCTCCGAAAGCAGTTGTTAATTTCTATGGAAAAGCCCTTTTTAAAAAAGCGTTTCATCGCTTGTATTGTAATGCTTCTACAACCCTTGACAGTTACACTGTATATTATTTACAAATCAGCATTAAAGGCAAGGGGAACTGCCATTATTACAACGCAGGAGAGCAAGACATGCTTTGGCTTGGAAAGGTACTTAGTCCTTCAAAGGATTGACCACGACTGATGATGGTGATGAAACGATAATGATAAAGGAGCCATCATGGCTATTGCTGCCAGTGATGCAGTCGTATGTCTCCACAGAGAGATCTCACAGTTGGACATCGAACCTCTAAGATCTGAGTTATGCTGGCCAAGAAATGACCCAGCACTGGTCATGGAATTGCAGCCCAGTTTCGACAACGCTTCAATGAGGCGTGAAACTCCACGGCCTAGGCACATCCACCCAACCCCCCTCTCTCTCTCTCCTACTGTCTCTCGTGGCCAGGGGGGCAGATGTCAGGAAGTATTTTTCCTTTTATTCCAGGGTGATCCATTTATACATACCCCACTAATTGCTAATGACCCTCTTACTCTCTTCTCAACAGGTGATTGGATAGTAAAAGTGATGGTATTTTTTTCTTACAGAGGAGTGTTCAAATATTTAATGAGTGTATTGGGATTGGTGGGAGACATGTGTTCTATAAATATATATTCCACACTGAAAATGATCCCTAATATTTTAGTGGGGTATCTATAAATAGACAATTCGATACGACTATTTTGCAACTACCAATGTAGATGTTGAATATGTTGGACCATTTAAAGTGAAATATATTTCATTGCGTTTTGAATACGAACGTGGCTGAGAATTTAGCCCCAGAGCGTGACACCACGACACACGCATCTCATTTACGCATTGCGATGTCGTGACTGGTTCAGGGGTTGACCCAGATCTGAGTGCCCTGAGAACGATTGTTTAAGGGCGCTTTTTCCATTTTAATTATTATAGTTATTAAGTGTGTGTATGGTTCGGTTTGAGAAGGGATTTCGGGGCATTTGGAAACCCAGTTCTGGGACTCCATGGGATTGGTGTGGCCAGGGCAGGCTTTCCGTGGGGACGAGGGCTCTCTGACCCAGCCACGCACTGTGCTAACACACATTGCCTCCTCCTCCCCCCACTGGTTGTGGAAATGAAGCATTAAAGCATTCTACAGTTGGGCAATATCAAGGATTGGAAATGCCACCCAAAAACAATTGTTAACGGTCACAGTGACTGCTCGCACTCGCTTCCTTTCTAAGGACTCTCACACCCGCAGACCGTGAAGCAAGTGTCAACAACAGCGGCTACAACAATACCACTACGTGCTGTTGCAGCTCAAAATAACGGGCCACCAAGTCAAGCCTCAGAGGCAATCAAATGTCCTCATCATGGGCATCCATTAACAACAATCCACCATCATCAGCAGCCATGGTCAATCCACTGCAGAGGAAAGGTCTAATACCCAATCCGCTGGAACCACCTCCAGCAACACCAGGCGTGGAGAAAACTAATCTACAATATTTTTTGGCGTATATGTTTTTTTAAATATATACCTTAAAAATCGTATTGGAAGAAATAAACTCGCATTACGTCAAGGAAGGAGCTTGCAATGACTTTCCGCAGGGGCACCGCAAACACGGAAAAGTAGAGAGCATCACGCATTCTCGATGCGGGGGAAGCAACTCAGAAATAGGCTCAGCATAATACATCTACAGACTTCGGTAACCTTAGGGTGGAAATATGGATCAAAGCACATCCATTACTGGATCAGACAGTTAACAAGGTTTGTTCAACATTTTCATCCCGCCAGAGCCAACCATCTTGTCGGCAGCTCCTTCGTTTTACATTGATCTGTGTTGCCAACGAAAGCAGCAGCTGCATGACAATTCAGACGCAGTAGCGGAGACACCCGTAATGACTCGATAATAAGTATTGACCGTGCGCATTGGATAACCCTATTAAGATGTTTTTTTTTGTAAAAACAATATTTTGCGAATGAATCGCGATTATTTACATCATTAGACCTCCTTTGCCAGTACCAAAATGTCATAAAAGGGTTTTCCCCTTTTTTCTGGCAACAAAACTGAAACCTTTTTTTACAAGGATTCATGTCTGCATTAACCACAATACCTGCAGTCAAAATGCAAACAAAAAACATACTATGATAATATATGCATTGTCCTTGAAACTGATTGGTCCACAACAAGGGACGGCTTTCTTTTGAGCCTCGACCCAATTGGTACTCGACCAGATGACGCCTTTTGGTGCTCGACCAGATGACGCCTTTTGGCGTCATCTGGTCGAGCACCAATTGGGTCGAGGCTCAAAAAAAAGCTGTCCCTTGGTGTGGACCAATCAGTTTCATGGAAATACACACCTATTTTGTAAACTATTACAAAGCAGTACAGCAAGAAGGTTTCATATCAATCTGTTTATAAACAGGTACAATGTAAAGGTGGAACCCTGAAAATGTTTTATCATGTTATTGTGGTTATTTGGCCTACTCTTCCACGCTGGCTAGACATCTTGGAGGAGGTGGGAGTAGCCACCCTTTACCCCAGCAGACGTGACCTACCTATCGAAACTATCTTCTATAATACAAGTACAAGTATGAATTGTAACACGAATGTATTATGGTTGTTACAATATAGTAACCAATATTAACAGTAAGGAAATGTATTCTTGTGTATGGCAATAAGTTCAGGAGTTAAATTCCAATGTCAAGGTCTCCTTGCCATGAGAGGGCTGAAGGAGAGATATGTAGTTTTCCTATTCCTTCTCTATTAAATGAACGCAGACTACAGTGCTTTACGATATGGTCCATAGTCTGGGTTGTGTGGCCACAGTCGCACTGTGGCTTGTTTTAAGTTTTACATTTATGAAAGAGATGTGTGTATCGGCCTGCTGATGCTCTGATTCGGTTGATGGTTAAACCGATGTCTTCGAGGCGGACGAATGCCAAAGCCAGGAGGTGTGATGATGCTTGGGTCTAGAACGAGGTGTTTATTCTGGACGTTCCGATCTGTTCTGCTCTGTTTGCCAGCGTTCTTCCAGATCTGGGAGAGAATTTAGGATGGTGACAGCCGCGCCATGCCAAAAGGAGGATCGGAACTCAGTCAAGTCGACTGCGAGATGCATTGTTGTGGTCTTTGTCGATGAGTGGGAGACGGTATTAGCGCCCTCGCCGTGGCCCAGCTGTTATGTATTTCCGTGTCATATTAAAGACAATACTGTCATCAAGGCAAAAGAGACGTCATTGATATTATTCCAGATAAGATAAGTAACGTAATAACACGATCACATAATCGTGATATAAGCACTTCTTTTTTATGTTACACGGTGAATGCCTTCATGTTTAAGCGTTTATAACTGTGTAAAAATATACCAGTGTTAGCACTTACCGAACAGCAAAGCCGAGATTAACTGCAGTATATCCGCTGACAATTTCCAGAAGGAAAGTTGCCCTTTGAAAAAAAAATATTCCTCCGAATATAATTTTGAATGCCAGATCGAGTTTTTAAAACAAAAATTAGTGAGGGGAAGGAGAAACTTTAAAATTGACTTCTACAATCCTTTGCATAATGTACAGAGCTTTGTAAGAACAGATACTGCCTGCACCTGGATATAGAGAATAATGTGAATCCGTGCATGCAAAGTTAATACCAGATACTGCGTTCATAAAATATGGTCTGTTTTTTTTTATACGTTTGCTAAGATCTGCCATGCCAAGTGTTTACTAACTACGTTGAACCAGACTGAATTCTAGATTTGAAGCTTTCGTGACTGCAAGGATTCATACTCTTTGGTTCTATTCGGCAAAGTCACGTAGGTAAAACAAATTAAAATAAATTTAAATAAAATGAAAGAAACAATTAAAACACGACGTTTCGGAGGCAAAGTAAGCGGCGATTTTGCTGTGACTGGTCCCACCTGAAGACGGAAGCTTGCTTTGCCTCCGAAACGTCGTGTTTTAATTGTTTCTTTCATTTTATTTCAATTTATTTTAATTTGTTTTACCCAGACTGAATTGTTTGGGCATTTATATGGGCAGCATCCTGCAGAGGTTCGTGCTTAACCTTCAACAAATAAACGTCAACCTTGATGGTGTTTGTAAAGGCGAGTAGAGTTCATAAGAAGTCACAAACACCTCATGACAGTACCGACGCAGATTGATCCCTGGCTTCAATTTTTGCAAAGCTTATGGGCCATCATCCCTAAACCGCATTGGCGAAAGCCTTGGCAGCAGAAGATGCGGACACGATGATGCACAAATGGAAAATTATAAAGTCCGGCGTGCGACTGTGGTCACCCAGAATAGACCACAAACACGAAGGAGGAGGAATAATTACAGCAATGCGCCACCCTGTTACCCCTGACGCAATTATCCGGCTCAACCACCTCAGTGTAAATGTGTGTCGAGGAGTCGTATGGAGACGTGACGTCATACGCGCTGTGAGGTGCGATGGCGTCATGTCACCTGGGGGTACTTAAGGGGGGGCACCCGTGACGAAAGGGGAGTCGTTGTGGGAGCCCGGGATGGAGAGGTTGTGAAGAGATAGCCAGGGGGTTAAGGCTGGGAGAAGTCTGCAAGAGCCAGCTAGGGTTAGGTGGGGCGCTGCTCTCCTCGGTCGGGCGCTGTTGGTTAAAGCCCCCGTCCCGACTCGAGTGAGAGATAGCCAGAGAAAGCCGGGCTAGCAGCAGATAGAGCCCGAGGTCCACCGTGAATGACCCAGTGTAGGGGCACCTACCTCTGGTGCAGTTGTTGTTCCCTTGTGTTAATAAACCGGCGCAAGCCCTTACCTGCAAACCTGCCTCCGAGTCGTCATTCACCACTCAACAAATGTATTGCTGTTCCTCCGCACCAGCGTCAGCCACGAGGAGGAGGGAGGAGAAAGAGATAGCGTTTGTCAATGAATTGGCCTCCCGACACCATGTCAGTAATGGGGTTGTGTTACCATACTTCATTACTCTGGTCACAGCGAGTTGGTAAAATGGAGAGGCCCAGGACTGATTCAGATATCGCTCACCGCTGATGTTAGCCATGCCTGAGAATCAACTCAAAGTCGCCGATTTCATAATGCAGTGAGCTAACCACTTCTCGAGCACCGCACCTATTTCAGATTGAGCGTATTTATATTAGCCTTGGAAGGGATGTTATTTATTAAATACTCTATGAGGCTATGTAATTTTAATGTCAGTCTCAAGAATTTTCATTCCCGTACTTTGCAGCGTAAAATATTACTTTTTCTTGAAACAAAGTAAATGCTTTGTTATGGCCCGTGGCAGTTCATCACCGGAATCTCACAATGTCCCGACAACAACCGAGTGACCCACTGTTGGTGACAATTTAATCAATAAACACCAAGCACATGCCACCAAAAATGTCATTCAGCTGTTAGCATGACAGTCTGCACAATACCATATTTAAAATAAACTCTCATGTATTAAATACGTAATAGTTTTTTAAATATATATTGACATGCTTATCACTACATACATAACAAGCAACCCTGTCCTTCGTTTGTTTACAATACATGCCACGAGCTATTCTCAAACATACATGTACAGCCCACTTCTCAATCCACTGCTGCATAAGGAGGGACCACTTCACTCAGTGCTGGTCATGAGAGTTATTTAACCATACTTCACCACACCGGTTAGTGCGGGTTTGTGAAGGTAGGCCAGGGGTTGAGCCTGAACGAGCACCGTGTGAAATATTTCAGAAGAAATGTTTTTTATATATATATTGACATGCTTCACTGTAAGTGAAATGTCAGCACTGCATCATATTTCCAGTTTAACACAAGCTTTCGCGACAAATATTATCCATACTGCAGGTTATATTTAAATATGTATTAAAATATACATAATATGTTTCAATATATGATATATATTTACGCGGGCTAACCCAAAAACCTCTATTATGGATAATATTGGTCGTGAAAGCCTACGTGTTAAACTGACTTCATCATATTGTTTGCATTGTCACAAACTCTAAGTTTTGTTTTTTGCAGCGTTAATTTGCAGACAGATAACAATAGGGGTCAACAGTTCCATGAATGTTTGTGATTCAGGGTCACTTTTCTAATCGAGAATCAATCCCTTTTACCTGACCTTAAATATTCTGTCATCACCCCTTGACATTCCCCTTCCTTTTCCTGTCTCCCTCTGTCCTTGCATCTTTCCCCCTCTCCTATCTCTTGCTTTTCTGCTGTTCCCTAAATCATAACTAGGGGCCTTCTATTCTTAGTCACGTTTATGGTGGTCGTTTAGATACCGTGTAACCAGTCCTACACTGTCCTGCACCTGATCTTGTTGCTGAAAATACTAATAAATAAACCGATTTCATTCCATTTATATATAAGTGAATGTAGCAGCCTCTAGTGACTGCAAAAGTGACGTGACCCAATTACAATTAACATACAAATCAAGGCATCAATTATTACACGTGATTTATTGCACGTATCATGAACTTTAGAGTCAATATTCCTTGATACTTTAATTACACGGTGTAACAAAAAAATTGTTCCTGGGTAGTAAGTGTTATTTCTAATTGCTTATGCCTCAAAAGTACAGAAAATGGCTATTATTCCCCACAAACTTTGCTTTTGTGACCAGGATAGTAATATTTAAAAATGTACCTATTTTCAATGAGAAAAGTGTGCATTTGTGTCATTCCTTCACATAAAGTCCTGGTCACAAAAGCAAAGTTTGTTGGGAATAATAGCCATTTTCTTTACTTTTTAGGCATAAGCAATTAAAAAATAACACTACCCAGGAACAAAAATCGTGTTACATAGTGAATCATTCCTTCCACCTCTAACTAACATGTTTAACCACCAAGTTTTTAGTAGCTTAATTGTCATTGCAAAAGCTGTATGCATAGTATATACAGTACTTATTTAAATTTCAAATTTTAGCAATTAATACTCCACAATTTGTATATACAACATTTTTTTAAATATGTAATTTGCCACTTAGGCTAATTAAGCTTCGATAGTTTAATATCCATAATTTTTGCCTTTTAAAGACGCCATAAATGTACAGTACTTGTGTTTTTTATGACCATCACTATATAAAAAAAAATGCGTCTCTCATTCAAATTATATTACAAACAGAGAGTTATTATCATTCAACACCAAATTGACCCAATATGTATTCAACAGCATGTAATCCTCCGGCTCAATAATTGTTGAATTCAACAATGCCGTTGTTTTACATTAATGCAATATCATGCTGAGTAACGCGGCTGTGATGCCACAAATGCGCGAGATTTACACCGCTGTGTTCTAATCAACGGAACTATGGTGCAATGCATCGCTTGGTGGTCCTTATGCACGGTGAGTGAACCGCATATGCATGGAAATTGGCAATTAATTGTCAGCAGTCATTGGTCAGTGCCAAATTCCATCAAGACGGCCATTCCCATTGCGTTATTACAAGAGAAGCAGGTGACGGAGGCAAAAAAATGGTCAAATTGTCTCTCCTAGCATGCTAAAGCATTTGATTAATTTATGGAAGACTAATTTCAGAAACGAAATGCCAGACTGTCTCTTTGATAAATGTCAGGAAAGAAGAGGAATATTGATGATATTCAAACAAGGTATTGCTATGCATAAGAACATCAGGAATTCAGAGATGAAAGTTGTGAACTCGCCAGATTGCTATTCCACAGCAGCCCTCGCTTGGACAGACGACAGCGTGTTTGTTAAAATGCAAGGCACAAATTGGAAAAGCGAGGTGCGTCGCTGTGAAGTTAACACTATCTCAAGAGTAGCGGCTCTGTCTAAATACTAAATGATAATATAATCAATTGATGCATTAATCAGACTACATAATTACGCAAGATGTAAAGCGCCCTCTTAATGTTAGCTTATTGATGCAAAAGCACGATATTCGTCGCTATTTTAATATTCGACACTTTTAATACCACAATGTTTTTCTTAATGTAATACGGTAAAAAAAAAATCATGGGATGCTATTATGCCTCTTTTTTAAAGTGACTTCACATTAGAATGTCACAGACTGTCACATCAGCAGCCACTAATGGGCAGAAACGTTAAAATTAATATAGCCAATTATCTGTCAGTTGCTTAGGCAAACTATGTATACGCATTCCCCTTACGCGCTGAGTCACTGCCGTGCGTTTACACACAAGCCAAGCAAAGTGCATACGTGAGTCAAGGAGCAGTGCATTGCCTCTGTGGGCTCGGTGGTCCCACCATGGGTTATGCAGGCGCACTCTTCCTAGAGAATAATAAGACAACACACGTCATTACTGGCTTCCAAACGAGCAAGCATTGCCTACTATCGATCGTTTACATTCGAATATTTTTTTTATAAGCACCACATTCCAGGCCAGTAAACAGTGCATCGATTAAGGAATTAATGGTGATTATAATGCTTACCATTACTGCATCAAATGTCACATGTAGGAATTTACAATAATTAAATTATGATAATTAAAAACCCTTTACAAAACCACTGCTTGGTGAAGGCCTCCCCACACAGTGTCAGTCACGGGAGGTTCATTTACCATACTTCACCACGCTGGTCAGTGTGGATTGTTGAAGGTAGGGGGAGGTCTTCAGTTATCACTCGCCGCTGATGATGTCGTTCGTAGCCAGAAATGTAACTCAAGTCGCATGGGGTTCAGTGCACAACGCACGAACCGCTGCTTCAATGATTCCCCCCCGAAAATGAATTAAATGTACGCGAGTGGACCAAACAAAAGAAAGGATGCAAAATAAATTAGAAAATATACAAACGAAACGGAAAAATAAGACAAAAAACAGCGATGTTTTCATTTTTTGTAATGTAACGAATTAGCATATTCCATTTATGCAACGAACCTTGCTAACTGGATGTGTTGGGTGGTGGCGGGTTTACGCGATCTAATCCAAAAAAAACCTCAATTATGGAAAAACAGATCTTTATATATTTGCAGAAATTGTTAATTGCTTTTGCTTGGCGAATGGTCATAATTATTATTGTATTTTTGTGAACATAGTTTAGTATCAAACCTGCAAGCGTGTGAAATTCTTTGCGAAACCTTGTTGCGTCTGATGGTAGATTTGGCGACTGGTACCGCATGAAAGGATTTGGCTGATGCTATCCATTTCATTAAAAAAAACATGAATTGTGATTGTGTTTTCGTCAAGGTCTGCTCTTGCCGAGCATAAGAATCCCAAATAAAAACTGATCTTCCTCTCTTGCATTTTCCATCGTAAACTTTTGCAAGCAAATCGATTTGCTTTGTATAGACATATACGCTTCCCAGAGCTGTAATTTACATTTAAATGTAAACCAAAACAAGGGTGTATTAATATCTTATAACCTACTACCTGATCGTTTGTTCAGTACTTTATCTACATAAAAGCATCCACAGACTGCATTAGGCATTTGAAGTGGTGACTTTTAAGTGTTAAATCTCTTAATCATCTGTTCAGTCACAATTGTCTACATACTACCCTTTATCACACATCATAGACAAATTTTACGTCTCAAAATTATAGTTCTCGTATTAAATAACAAGACACCAATACCTAAAGCCAATAGCATACGAATCTGAGAAGATCCTATTTTAATATACATATGCATGAATATATATATGGAAATTAAATAAATCCCTTACGAATTCGAAATCAATTCTTAACAAATAAAAAAACGTACAGATTTTATAGGAAATCTAATCATAACTATTCTCAGGCACAATAGCATGGACGAGTTTATGAAAAATAACACAATATTTTAAGTTAAAGCATCATTTTAATTCAAATGTTATTGTTTCCGGTTCATAAATATCCACACAATCGTGTTAAAATTCCACATTTGTGAAATGTGCACAT